CCCGCCCCGCCGCGCCCCGCCGCGCCCCGCCGCGCCCCGCAGAGCAGCTGCGTCAGAGCCACACCGCCGCGGCCCATGGCTCGGCCCATGCCCATGGCGGCAGGCAGGCAGCCCCGGCGGGCCCAGCCGGCCTGGGCAGCCAGCGCAGCTCGCCGTGAATGCGACATTTTGGAAGAACGAGGCGGACTGGATTTTGAGCTGACGCAGTGTTGTATCGCCAGTCCAGTCGATTACTGGGCGACCCCTTGACAGCCCACGACTGCACATCCAACGCCATTCGCGCAGGGCATTGTTGACGTGTGGATACTTGAAAAGGTCCCTTGCTACGCTCAGAGAAAACGCCACCCATACCCCACCAGTGGGTGCATTGTCGGTGGCGGTTCAAACGTTTGCGCGTCCCGTTTGGGCGGCGCCAGCTCGGCTGGTGTAACCCGCGCTTGGCCGCGGGACCAGCCGCCCCAGCCCCCCCGCCAGGGCCCGCCAGGGACGCGACGCGCCCCGCCGAGCACGGCCCGTGACATGACATCACTTTCTCGCTTTCTGATCGCAAGTGAAAATCCAATGCCGCCACTTCGCCTAGCTTCGCCCCGCTTTGGCTGCCGCTTTGGCCGGACCTCGGCTGCGCGGCGCCCCGGCGGCGGCGGCGGCAGGGCGGACCCCGCCGCTGCTCCAACTGGAGCAGTTCGCGTATTTTAATTGAGCCGGGACGGTTTTCATTTCCCCCAGGCGGAGCGGGCTCGGGGCTGCTCAGCCGCTGCTGGCGGCAGGAGGCAGGCGCCTTAAGGCCGTATCACACTGGCGGCTGCCGCTGCCGTCGCCGCTGCCGTTGCCGCTGCCGCTCTCCTCTCGACCAATCAGAGGCGAGCGGCCGCCGGCGGCGCCGCCGGCGGCCAGGATAGCCGGCCGTCTATATTTCTGAGCGGCAGCGGCGACGGCAGCCAATGAGAAGGGCTAGATTCAGCGAAGTGACCTACGAATACTGACTCTCGTGACTAAAACTGGGGTAGGCGGATAAAAAGCCACTGAACTTTGTCTCACAGACCGGGTATATTGATTAAATTGTTTGAGAAAAGGTTATTGTGATAACAATGAAGCTG